TTCTGTTCTTTTTACTTTAACTTGTAACGTAGGATGGTGGCGTGGCTGTTGGGGGGATAAGGATTTTTACTTCTAATACCAAGAGCACATTATGTAAATGTGTTACCTGAACTCTCTGTTGGAAACATCCGTCACAGTTTACAGACCGACTTCCTGTAAGTATTCAGATCCTTTACTGAAGTAAAAGTACCAAAACAGCCATGTCAGAATACTACGTTACAAGTTAAAGTAAAAAGAACAGAACAGAAGTGTCAGCATTACGTTCCTCAGTGCTGCAGGAAGCGAGCCCTAAAACCAGGAAGTGAGTCTTCGTACCTCGGTTCTCTCGTCTCAAAGTGATTTTGGTTCGATGTCTGAAATAAGATCCGAGTTCAACACGAGCTCCTAAATAAATGTCTTACAAAATCACAAAAGTTCAATCTTTAACAACGTGCTGTAGTTTATAAACTCATCACATGTTTTTCATTTAAAATATAAATCTCAGAAAAGTAACTACAGCTGTCAAATAAATGTAGCGGCGTACAAGTATAAAGTATCAGACAATAGAACGTTAAGTCAGTCAGCTGAGCGGTATCTGAGTGACGGTAGATAAAGACACAGTTTGATAGATGATCTAAATAAAGTGCTGGTTTGTAATAAAACCATTAAAATGATCCGTGAAGCCTTGATGTCTGACCGGTTGATGGAACGCTCGTCTCTCCTGCAGCGGTTCTGCACCGACGCCGACGCCCGGAACGTTCTCCATTGTCTGAAGCAGAACAAGAACAGCGAGCTGATGGATCCCAAATGTAAACAGATGATCACCAAGAGACAGATCACACAGAACACAGGTCAGTTCACAAGGAGGCAGGAAAGGAGAGGGAGGGAGACGGGAAACCTCCCAGACTCACCTCTTCCTCTTCCTCATCCTCCTTCTCCTCTTCCTTCCTTCCTCCTCCAGACTACAGGTTGAACCCGGGGTTGAGGAAAGCTTGTCGAGCTGACATCCCAAAGTTCTGCCAGCCGATCCTGAACAAAGCGAGCGATGACAACGAGCTGGAGGGTGAGGTCATCGGCTGCCTCAAACTCAAATACGCCGACCAGGTGAGTCCAGGTCCTCCATCAGGGTCCTCCATCAGGGTCCTCCATCAGGGTCCTCTGTGATATAAGATAGTAACAGTGAGACACAATACAACGCACTAAACTGAATGTGTTTTCTTAAATGGTGTGTTTGGTTCAGAGGTTGTCTCCAGACTGTGAAGACCAGATCAGAGTGATTCTCCACGAGTCAGCGCTCGACTACAGACTCGACCCACAGCTGCAGATGCACTGCACAGATGAGGCACACACACACACACACACACACACACACACACACACACACACACAC